CATCCCCCATATAGTAATTCATCCCCCATAGTAATTCATCCCCCATATAGTAATTCATCCCCCATAGTAATTCATCCCCCATATAGTAATTCATCCCCCATAGTAATTCATCCCCATATAGTAATTCATCCCCCATATAGTAATTTAATCCCCCATATAGTAATTCATCCCCCATATAAGTATATTAAATCCCCCATATAGTAATTAATTCCCCCATATAGTAATTCATCCCCCATATAGTAATTAATCCCCCATATAGTAATTCATCCCCCATAGTAATTCATCCCCCATATAGTAATTCATCCCCCATAGTAATTCATCCCCCCATAGTAATTCATCCCCCATAGTAATTAATCCCCCATATAGTAATTCATCCCCCATATAGTAATTCATCCCCCATAGTAATTCATCCCCCATATAGTAATTAATCCCCCATATAGTAATTAATCCCCCATATAGTAATTCATCCCCCATATAGTAATTAATCCCCCATATAGTAATTCATCCACCATAGTAATTCATCCCCCCTATAGTAATTCATCCCCCCTATAGTAATTAATTCCCCATATTAATTCATCCCCCATATTAATTCATCCCTCATATAGTATTTCATCCCCCACAGTACTATTCCCCCCCAAGTAGTAAGCCAAGTCCCCCCTGTGTCAATTCACTTACCTTTGCTCCGCGCGTGCCTCTCGCCGTGTTCCCGCGCCGTTCCGGTCTTCAGGGCGGACTGTGAGAGGAGCCTAGCTCCCCTCACGTTCCTCACGCTGTCCCGCCTACACACATCCTGACAGCCAATGTTTGCCTGCCCTGGCTGTGTTTTTTTTTATCACGCTCCGCGGGCCGGATTAAAAGGTCCACCGGGCCGTATACGGCCCGCGGGTCGTAGTTTGCCCATTGCTGCTGTAGACACACTACAGGAGATGATCAGAGACTGCAGAGACATACTACAGGAGATGATCAGAGACTGCAGAGGCATACTATAGGAGATGACCAGAGACTGCAGAGACATACTACAGGAGATGGTCAGAGACTGCAGAGGCATACTATAGGAGATGGTCAGACACTAGAAGTACAAGTTGGAAGGAAGGGGTGCTCAGAGAAGTACCGTGTCGTTCCAGGGAGTCGTGACTTGGCTCATATAGCCCACCTAAGGTGTGGAGTTGTGGACGTGTGTCGGTGGATTAGATATTGGTCGGGTTTCAGGCGTGATAAATTATTTCTTCTGCTTGGCTCAGTGTTGGCTTCTTATATGTCTGTGATGGTTGGGACAGATCTGTCCATGTGATCAGGGGTGTCTTGTGGCCGGGCAGGGCTATCCTCAGAGAGAAACGTGAAGGCTTCCAGTGTTGAAATCTGTTTCTGAAAATGCTAGTCACCTGATGCTGAAGCCAGTGGATGAGCATAATAGCCAGGTGACCAGCCTATTCAACAACATGGCAGTGTCTCGACAGGCTTTCTTTAATGGTGGTCCAATGGAGGTCACAGGACAGGCCATCTGCTATCTGTCAATGGCTCCTTCATGCTGGTAGTGTCACTGAGCCTACATCGGACATTAGACCGGGGTATTATATTATAGATACATGTTCCTCACCTTTCATCAAGGCACTTCCATATCTGCCTGTTCCCAAACCTTGGTGGCCCAGTCGGGCATGACTGAACAGATTCTGAAAATCTCTGTATACAATGTAGATCACTTGGGGATGTCCACAGGGTTGCTTTAATAAAGGACATCTGCACCATGAGCACCAGGACAGGGCCAAGTCAAGAGACATGCAAGTAGTGGACTATGAGCCACAAGGCTGTAAGGAAACCCCTTGCTGCTCTGAGGAGCCTACACTCCTCGTATTTTATAGGGAAGACCAACAGATTTTGCATTAAATCCTAACAGTCAAAAAAAAAAAAGCAGTGGTGTAATGGCACATTGTGGCCAGTAGGCATCTGAGGACCATGGGAAGGGACAGACCATGGAAGATACTACACAGTATTTGTACCATGAGTACCAGGACAGGGCCAAGTCAAGAGACATGCAAGTACTGGACTATGAGCCACGAGGCTGTAAGGAAACCCCTTGCTGCTCTAGGGAGCCTACACTCCTCGTATTTTATAGGGAAGACCAACAGATTTTGAGTTAAATCCTAAAAGTGCACAAAAAAAACCCAGCAGTGGTATAATGGCACATTATGGCCAGTAGGCATCTGAGGACCATGGGAAGGGACAGACCATGGGAGATACTACACAGTATTTGTACCATGAATACCAGGACAGGGCCAATTCAAGAGACATGCAAGTACTGGACTATGACCATGGAAGATACTACACAGTATTTGTACAGGAAGTCTTTGTTGGTAGGTATGGTTTGTAGTTTTCAGCTAAGTACATAGTGTCTTTTGAAGAATATTGTGTCTGTTGTGGAACAACTGCTCTCACTGTCTGCTGGTGGTGACATAATACAAAGTGTCTTGGCTACTAACACTAGGCTCCACCACGTTCCAGTTCCACCAGACTGAAATAGCTCCTCCAAACCCATGAGGAGTGATTGCTCCCAGGTGACATTTGTGATGATATTGCACCTTCAGCTCTAGGCCGTAGTGGCACCTTCCACTGCCAGTTGATATGGCTCCTCCAAACACAGCAGATGGAACTGTTTCCTGAGGACATCTGGAATGACATTGTACCTTTGGCTCCTTCCACTGCAGGTTTAAATGGCTCGTCCAAACCCAGGGGAGTTTTAATATTTCAAGTTGACATCTAAAATAACATGGCTCCTTCTACTCCAGTCTGTCATGGATGGTTTCTTCCACTGCAGATTTAAATGACCTCTTCAAACCCATGGGATGTTACTGCTTCAAGGTGACATCTGGAATGACATGGCACCTTCATTTGCCAGTTGATATGGCTCCTCCAAACCCAGGAAATGTGACTGCTTCTAGGTGACATGACTCCTTCATGGCTGTCATGGCTCCTTCCACTGCAGGTTGAAATGGCACACCCAAGCCCAGGGGAGTTTTACTACTTCAAGTTGACATCTAAGATAACATGGCTCCTTCTACTCCAGTCTGTCATGGATGGTTTTTCTTCCACTGCAGATTGAAATGACCTCTTCAACCCCATGGGATGTGACTGCTTCAAGGTGACATCTGGGATGACATGGCATCTTCAAATCTTAATTGTAATGGCTCCTTCCTTTGCCAGTTGATATGGCTCCTCCAAACCCAGGGAATGTGACTGCTCCTAGGTGACATCTAGGATGACATAGCACGTTCAACTCTTGGCTGTCAAGGCTCCTTCCACTACCAATTGATATGCTTCCTCCAAACCCAATGGATATGATTTCTCTAAGGTAAAATCTAGGATGACATGGCATCTTGAGCTCCAGGCTGTCATGGCTCCTTCCACTGCAGTTAAAAATGGCTCCTCCAAACCATGGGGATGTGACTTCTCCCAGGTGACATCTGGAATTACATGGTTTCTATATCATTGGCTGTCATTGCTGCTTACAATGCTGGTTTTGTATTATTCCTGCAAACCCAGGTGTACTGCTCCCAGATAACATCTGGAATGACATGGTGTCTTCAGTTCCAGGCTGTAATGGCTCCTCCCATTGAAGCTGACATGGCTCTTCCAACTTTACATTGTGGGGATGTTGTTCCTCCCAGATGACATCTAAGATAACATGGATCCTTCCACTCCAGTCTGTCATGGCTCCTTCCACTGAGGGTTGAAATGTCTCCTCCAAACCCAAGGAATGTGACTGCTCCCTGGTGACATTCGGAGTGATGTAGTATCTTCAGCTTTTAGCTGTCATGGCTCCTTCCAATGTTGGTTGATCTGGCTCCTCCAAACCCACAGGATGTGACTGCTCCAAGGTGACATTTGGAATGACATGGCACCTTCAAATCCAGGCTGCCATGGCTCCTTCTACTGGAGGTTTCAATGGCTTTTGCAAACTTAGAGGATGTGACTGCTCCCAGGTAACATCTGCAATGACATGGCACCTTCAGCTTCAGATAGTCATGGCTGCTCTAGATGCAACATGGCTCTTCCAACTCCACATTGACAGTCCTCCCACTGTGGATTCCATGGCTCTTCCAACTGCAGGTAATGTTGTTCCTCCCGATTGACATCTAGGATAATAGGATAATATGGGTCCTTCCTCTGCAGGCTGTCATGGCTCATTCCACTACAGGTTGAAAAATTTTCCCCAAACCCAGGAAACGTGACTGTTTCTGATTGACACCTGGAATGACATGACAGCTCCAAGCTCTCATTGTTTCTCTCAGTGCAGCTGACATGGCTCTTCCAGCTCTTCATTGGCAGTTCCCCTACTGCCGATGTCATAGTTCTTTCCATCGTTGATCCTCTTGGTTGACATCTGGGTTAACATGGCTTTTTCTACTCCAGGGTGTCACGGCTCCTCCCACTGTGTGTATTCTGACACAGCCTATGCACACTTCTTTATTAATGTGGAAAAGAGAAGGTTGTGAGAATAAGCAGGGGACGATGGGAGGATACAGATGAAGATGAAGAGTCAATGGAAGGTGTGAAGACCTGCATTCAATGACCGTAGATATTTGGAGAGAATTTTTTGTTTTCTACTGTCTGATCCTCCCAGTATTTAGCAGGGAGTTGAGGACATGGTATGGACAAAGAAAGGTAAGTACAGTATGGAACCAGATTGGCGGCACTCAGGAACTAAACCTTCCTATCCCCTACAGTCAAGGAAGCCACCATGTTAGCCTCTGTTTAATCTGCTGTTGACATGATGCTATGACACCAGCCATTTGATGGCTTGTTTGGTTGAGTGCTAACATAAGCACAATGATAACTGTGAAGGTCCTTGTCATTGACATGTATTCAAATTGTATATCAAATCATGAATGTGCAGAATATTACGCATAATACTGTGAACTGTCAACACAATAATAAGACATTCCCCCACCACACCCGGTACTAAACATAATTTTCCAATACAGTAATATTTTCTTTATCTCCAGGCTTCCAACCCATTGTGGCAGTCCCGGGGCTCCAGCACGGTGTCCTCAGGGGGACGTTTCCGCTGTCCATCCTGCCGTCATGAAGTGGTCCTTGACAGACATGGAGTCTATGGACTGCAACGGAACCTGCTGGTGGAAAATATCATCGACATCTATAAGCAGGAGTCATCCAGGTAAATCTTGATCTTGACCAATACAACGCCTAAAGCTGATCGGTGTTCTTTGTACAACAATACAGTTTGGAGTTGCAATAAAAAATATTGGAGTAGAGGGATGGTTAGCAGTAGGTGGTCACATTCAGGACTTATTCTGTCTCGTTGAAGATGTTTCGTTGCTTCCCCAAGCCATTTCTTGAGTTCTAACAATTAACGCAATACTGAAACTGGACTTGTTGAAGATGTTTCATTGCTTCCCCAAGCCACTTCTTGAGTTCTAACGATTAACTCAATACTGAAACTGGACTTGCTGAAGATGTTTTGTAGCTTCCCCAAGCCACTTCTTCAGTTCTAATGATTATAGCTCAATACTGGACATGTTCTGTAATGTTGAAGACATTTCGTAGCTTCTCTTCTTCAGTTATAATGACTGTAACCCATTGAATGGCTTGGGGAAAACACCAACATCTTCAACATTACAGAACATGTCCAGCTGAACGTGACCAAGCTCTGCTAGCTATACCATGACCTGGAGAAATGAGAACCTTTACAGAGTAAGAGGATGGTTCAGCACGCTTGTTTTTCCAATCCATAATTTGTCTCCATTTTGTCCAGGCCTCTGAATACAAAGACGACAGAGCAGCATTTGTTGTGTGAGGAACACGAGGATGAGAAAATCAACATTTATTGCTTAACCTGTGAGATTCCTACCTGTTCCATGTGTAAGGTTTTCGGGGCCCACAAGGACTGTGAAGTGGCTCCTTTGTCCAGCATCTACAAAAGACAGAAGGTACTTCCTGAATATATATGAGAGGTTTTATCTCGAGACCAGGGGCGGACTGACAACTCATGGGGCCCCCGGGCAATAGGGGATCATAAGGGCCCCTGTGTCCTTGCCCAAACAAAAAAGCCTATAAAAAAGGTACCAGGGGCATCTCATGGGGCCCCCTACTGACCCCAGGCCCTCGGGCAGTGCCCGAGTTTCCAAATGGTCAGTCTGCCCCTGCTCGAGACCCATATCATAGCTGTGATTGGTGGAAGAGGTCACACAAGTACATACGTACATCTACCAAGGTTGGTCAGGGCTGGAAATCCTGAGATGTGAACCCTTCATTGCATACTGGAAATGAAGTCATTGACATGGTGTGTTTAAACCACTGAGGCTCTGCGACATTTATGCACTGTGGCCCCAGGTTTACAAGGTGCTTCAATATGGTGATGAGAAAACCTGCCTAGTTCACACATTCTCCCCCTGATTTTATCTTGTTAGAGTCAATAGGAGAGGTTGCGACATGTATGTACCTTGGCCCCAGGTTTACGAGGTGCTCCAGTATGGTGATGAGAAAACCTGCCCAGTTCTCAAATTCTCCCTCTGATTGTATCTTGTTAGAGTCAGTAAGAGATGTTGAACATACAATTATATTTTCAATCAATATCCTAGCAAACAGCATTTCTCAGTCATGGAGTCCCAAGGCACACCAGCTAAAAAACAAAATTTTACATATCAATGGGAAACCTGAGCCTGGGACAAGGAACACAACTTTCTTGATGAAATTAGCTTCACATCAGAAGCTTCCCATCATGTTGGAGACCTCCCATCACGTCAGAGGTCCCCCATCACACCAGATGTCCCCCTTAGCACGAGAAGCCCCCCATCACATGTCAGAGTCCCCCCATCAAAGAGCCCCTTAATTACATAGTCCCCCCCAACACCAAGCCCCCTAATCACATAGTCCCCCATCACTGACCCCCCAATCATGCAGTTGCCCATCACAGGGTCGCTAATCCTGTGACAAGGAACACAACTTTCTTGATGAAATTAGCTTCACATCAGAAGCTTTCCATCATGTTGGAGGCCTCCCATCATGTCAGAGGTCCCCCCATCACATCAGATGTCCCCCTTAACACGAGAAGCCCCCATCACATGTCAGAGTCCCCCCATCAAAAAGCCCCTTAATTAGATAGTCCCCCCCATCACCAAGCCCCCTAATCACATAGTCCCCCATCACCGACCCCCCAGTCATGCAGTTGCCCATCACAGGGGACAAGGAACACAACTTTCTTGATGAAATTAGCTTCACATCAGAAGCTTCCCATCATGTCAGAGGCCCCCCATCATGTCAGTGGTCCCCCCATCACGTCAGAGGTCCTCCCATCACATCAGAGGTCCCCCTTAACATGAGAAGCCCCCATCACATGTCAGAGTCCACCATCAAACAGCCCACTAATTACATAGTCCCCCCTATCACACAGCCCCCTAATCACATAGTCCCCCATCACTGACCCCCTAATCATGAAGTCACCCATTACAGGACCTCCAATCATACAGTTCCTCCATCACAGAGCCTACCAATCACGCGGTTCCCTCTTAACATCTGAACCCTACCATTTGACTCTAGCAGCGTGACAGAAGGTGGAGCAGGTCTGGAGGAAGCAGACTTCAATCTTCTCCCCAATGCTGGGGTGGTCCTACTTGCCACCTGCCCTGGATCAAAGTCATGGGTTGCCATTGTGTGGGCAGATCTGCCACCAGCACTACAGAAACGAATGACACCATGGGGTTGATTTACTAAAACTGGAGAGTGAAAACTCTGGTGAAGCTGTGCATGGTAGCCAATCTGCTTCTAAGTTCAGCTTGGTCAATTAAGCTTTGACAATAACACCAAAGAAGCTGCACCAGATGTTGCACTCTACAGTTTTAGTAAATCAACCCCCATGCGTCCTGATCCTAGAGTGTCAATGGTTGTTATGGTGCTGATGGTCGGCCCGCCCAAGCCATGGCAACTCATGAAGCTGATCAAGGGCAGGCTAGGTCCTGTACTTGCGGCACCCCAGAAGTAACTGGAACAGCACCCCATGGTGCCATGGCACCCTAGTTTAGAAACACTGTCCTAAAAAACATAAGTTGGCTTGACTGTTGGCAAAGGTCTAAAGTAATATTCGGTGTGTGAATGGGGCATCTCACCTGTTAGTGTCATCTGAATTTTATTTTCTATAAATATTTAGTACCCTAGCTTAGGTTGGGGTCCAGCCAGCCAACATCCATTATAATTTACACGGAGCTAGGTTTCTGCAAATTTTTAGCTACCCACGATGAGCTGGGTGTCCGTTCTTTGCCAGGTGTTCCTGAGGTCCCCCAGAGCAATATGAAGAGTATCTAGAAGTCTTGAAATGTTTATTACCTACGCCATTACCTATTCTTCATTTACTAAAATGACCTGTCCATATTATCTCCAATCATCAATCATGGTCAGCATACAAGCCCTGATGAAGGAGGATGTGAAACGCGTTGGGTATAGCTTCCTTTTGTTGTGAAAAATATACTTTTTCTGGACTTATCCAATACCTGTGGCACTCTCGTTCTTTTACATAGTCTTCAGATTGCTCCGGAACCCCCAGGAACTTCCCCTGGAAGCCTGGAATAATTCACATTTGTGTCCAGCACTCCACCAACACGTCTTCTAGCTCTGTTTTCTTCTGAACTATAAATGAAATGACCAATATTCTTGTCTCCCCAGAGCGACCTCAGTGATGGGATTGCGATGCTGGTTGCTGGCAATGATCGGATTCAGGCAATTATCACACAGATGGAGGAGATCTGCAAAAGTGTTGAAGTGAGTGATACTGACACCTGCTGATAGTAGTCTGTGTTTTCCTTTTGCCTATAGTAGTGATGTCTAGAAGTCTCAGATAACGTGTACCTGGTCTTTGAATGTCTCCTGTAGCATACCCTTAGTCACCAACTACTATAGCATTTTTCTGAACATGTCTACACTCTCTGACCATCTCTTGTAGCATGACTGGAGTCTTTGACCATCTCCTGTAATATTTCTGAAGTCTTTGACCCTCTCTTATAGCATGGCTGGAGTCTCTGACCTTCTCCTAGTATGTTTCCAGTCTTTGACCATCTCTGATAGCATGACTGGAGTCTTTGACCATCTACTAGTATGCCTCCAGTCTCTGACCATCTACTAGTATGTCTCCAGTCTCTGACCATCTATAGTAATATGTCTACACTCTCTGACCATCTCTTGTAGAATGACTGGAGTCTTTGACCATCTCCTGTAATATTTCTGAAGTCTTTGACCCTCTCTTAGAGCATGGCTGGAGTCTCTGACCTTCTCCTAGTATGTTTCCAGTCTTTGACCATCTCTGATAGCATGACTGGAGTCTTTGACCATCTACTAGTATGTCTCCAGTCTCTGACCATCTACTAGTATGTCTCCAGTCTCTGACCATCTATAGTAATATGTCTACACTCTCTGATCATCTCTTGTAGCATGACTGAAGTCTTTGACCATCTACTAGTATGTCTCAAGTCTCTGACCATCTACCGTAGTATGTCTACACTTTCTGGCCATCTCTTGTAGAATGACTGGAGTCTTTGACCATCTACTAGTATGTCTCCAGTCTCTGACCATCTATTGTAGTATGTCTCCAGTCTCTGACCATCTCTTGTAGCATGAATGGAGTCTTTGACCATCTACTAGTATGTCTCCAGTCTCTGACCATCTATTGTAGTATGTCTACACTCTCTGACCATCTCTTGTAGCATGACTGGAGTCTTTGACCATCTACTAGTATGTCTCCAATCTCTGACCATCTATTGTAGTATGTCTACACTCTCCGACCATCTCTTGTAGCATGAATGGAGTCTTTGACCATCTACAAGTACACGTCAAACTGGAAAAATTAGAATATGGTGCAAAAGTTCATTTATTTCAGTGCAGCAACTTAAAAGGTGAAACTAATATATGAGATAGACTCATTACATGCAAAGCAAGATAGTTCAAGCCGTGATTTGTCATCATTGTGATGATTATGGCTTACAGCTCATGAAAACTCCAAATCCACAATCTCAGAAAATGAGAATATTGTGAAAAGGTGGAATATTCTCGGCTCAAAGTGTCCCACTCTAATCAGATAATTAAGCCATAACACCTGCAAAGGGTTCCTGAGCCTTTAAATGGTCTCTCAGTCTGGTTCAGTAGGAATCACAATCATGGGAAAGACTGCTGACCTGACAGTTGTGCAGAAAACCATCATTGACACCCTCCATAAGGAGGGAAAGCCTCAAAAGGTAATTGCAAAAGAAGTTGGATGTTCCCAAAGTGCTGTATCAAAGCACATTAATAGAAAGTGATGTGGAAGGGAAAAGTGTGGAAGAAAAAGGTGCACAAGCAGCACGGATGACCGCAGCCTGGAGAGGATTGTCAGGAAAAGGCCATTCAAAAGTGTGGGAACTTTCACAAGGAGTGGACTGAGGCTGGAGTCAGTGCATCAAGAGCCACCACACACAGACGGATCCTGGACATGGGCTTCAAATGTCGTATTCCTCTTGTCAAGCCTCTCCTGAACAACAAACAATGTCAGAAGTGTCTTACCTGGGCTAAAGAAAAACAGACCTGGCCTGTTGCTCAGTGGTCCAAAGTCCTCTTTTATGATGAGAGCAACTTTTGCATCTCATTTGGAAAACAAGGACCCTGAGTATGGAGGAAGAATGGAGAGGCACAAGGACCCCGAGTATGGAGGAAGAATGGAGAGGCACAAGGACCCCGAGTATGGAGGAAGAATGGAGAGGCACAAGGACCCCGAGTATGGAGGAAGAATGGAGAGGCACAAGGACCCCGAGTATGGAGGAAGAATGGGGAGGCCCAAGGACCCAGAGTATGGAGGAAGAATGGAGAGGCACAAGAACCCCGAGTATGGAGGAAGAATGGAGAGGCACAAGGACCCCCCGTATGGAGGAAGAATGGAGAGGCACAAGGACCCCGAGTATGGAGGAAGAATGGAGAGGCACAAGGACCCCGAGTATGGAGAAAGAATGGAGAGGCACAAGGACCCCGAGTATGGAGGAAGAATGGAGAGGCACAAGGACCCCGAGTATGGAGGAAGAATGGAGAGGCACAAGGACCCCGAGTATGAGGAAGAATGGGGAGGCCCAAGGACCCCGAGTATGGAGGAAGAATGGAGAGGCACAAGGACCCCGAGTATGGAGGAAGAATGGAGAGGCACAAGGACCCCGAGTATGGAGGTAGAATGGAGAGGCACAAGGACCCAGAGTATGGAGAAAGAATGGAGAGGCACAAGGACCCCGAGTATGGAGAAAGAATGGAGAGGCACAAGGACCCCGAGTATGGAGGAAGAATGGAGAGGCCCAAGGACCCCGAGTATGGAGGAAGAATGGAGAGGCCCAAGGTCCCCGAGTATGGAGGAAGAATGGAGAGGCACACACTGCAAGATGCTTGAAGTCCAGTGTGAAGTTTCCACAGTCTGTGTTGATTTGGGGAGCCATGTCATCTGCTGGTGTTGGTCCGCTGTGCTTCATTAAGTCCAGGGCCAACGCAGCCGCCTACCAGGAGATTTTGGAGCACTTCATGCTTCCTTCCGCAGATGAGCTTTATGGGGGTTGCTGACTTCATTTTTCAGCAGGACTTGGCACCGGCCCACACTGCCAAAAGCACCAAAACCTGGTTCAATGACCGTGGGATTACTTTGCTTGATTGACCAGCAAACTGGCCTGACCTGAACCCCATAGAGAATCTATGGGGCATTGCCAAGAGAAAGATGAGAGACATGAGACCGAGCAATGCAGAAGAGCTGAAGGCCGCTATTGAAGCATCCTGGTCTTCCATAACACCTCAGGAGTGCCACAGGCTGATAGCTTCCATGCCACGCCGCATTGAGGCAGTAATTGTTGCAAAAGGGGCCCAAACCAAGTACTGAGTACATATGCATGCTTCTACTTTTCAGAGGTCCGATATTGTTCTATGTACAATCCTTGTTTTATTGATTGCATGGAATATTCTCATTTTCTGAGATTGTGGATTTGGGGTTTTCATGAGCTGTAAGCCATGATCATCACAATTATGACAAATCACGGCTTGAACTATCTTGCTTTGCATGTAATGAGTCTATCTCATATATTAGTTTCACCTTTTAAGTTGCTGCACTGAAATAAATGAACTTTTCACAATATTCAAATTTTTCGAGTTTCACCTGTATGTCTCAAGTCTCTGACCATCAATTGTAGCATGGCTGGAGTCCTGGCCATATCCAGTAATATTGATTTTTTGGTGTAATTCTCCTATGTTAGGATCACAATATGTGTGACAAAAGTCAATAGATAAAATAAATGGTGTGTGAGAAATAATAAATAATGCATACTGTATATAGTAAAAAATTTAAAAAAATAAATTAAATGCGTGGATGCTGCAAAGGCTCTATACCTTCAGTGAATATAATACAAACTTACAGAACTGCTCTCAATTATACATTAAACATCTTCCATAACCCAAAGTATATAGACAAATACGAGCTCCACTCTAACCATATGAAGACATACAATGAAATACAAAAATCATGCAGAATATATACACTATATTGCCAAAAGTATTGGCCTGCCTTTCCACGCACATGACCTTTAATGGCCCCCCAGTCTTAGTCCGTAGGGTTCAATATTGAGTTGTCCCCGCCCTTTGCAGCTATAACAGCTTCAACTCTTCTGGGAAGGCTGTCCACAAGGTTTAGGAGGGTGTCTATGGGAAGGTTGGACCATTCTTCCAGAAGCACATTTGTCAGGTCAGGCACTGATGTCGGGGGAGGAGGCCTGGCTCACAGTCTCCACTCTAATTCATCCCAAAGGTGTTCTATGGGGTTGAGGTCAGGACTCTGTGCAGGCCAGTCAAGTTCCTCCACCCCAAACTGGTTCCTCCATGTCTTTATGGACCTTGCTTTGTGCACTGGTGTGCAGTCATGTTGGAACAGGAAGAGGCCATCCCCAAACTCTTCCCACAAAGTTGGGAGCATGAAATTGTCCAAAATGTCTTGGTATGCTGACGCCTCAAGAGTTCCCTTCACGGGAACTAGGGGGCCAAGCCCAACCCCTGAAAAACAACCCCCCACCATAATCCCCCCTCCACCAAACTTTACACTTGGCACAATGCAGTCAGGAAAGTACCATTCTCCTGGCAACCACCAAACCCAGACACATCCATTGGATGGGCACACAGAGAACCGTGATTGGTCACTCCAAAGAACACCTCACACTACTCTAGAGTCCAGTGGCGGCATGCTTTACACCACGGCATCCGACACTTTGCATTGCACTTGGTGATGGAAGGCTTGGATGCAGCTGCTCGGCCATGGAAACCCATTCCATGAAGCTCTCTACACACTGTTGTTGGGCTCATCTGAAGGCCACACCAAGTTTGGAGGTCTTTAGCTATTGACTCTGCAGACAGTTGGCGACTTCTGCGCACTGTGCGCTTCAGCATGCACTGACCACGCTCTGTCATGTGACGTGGCCTACCACTTGGTGGCTGAGTTGCTGTTGTTCCCAGTTGCTTCCACTTTGTTATAATCCCACTAACAGTTGAGCGTGGAATATTTAGTAGCCAGGAAATGTCACGGATGGACTTATTGCACAGGTGACCACCTATCACGGGACCACGCTTGGAGTCACTGAGCTCCTGAGAGCGACCCATTCTTTCACCAATGTTTGTAGAAGCAGTCTGCATGCCTAGGGGCTTGATTGTATACACCTGTGGCCATGGAGGGGATTGGAACACCTGAATCACATGATTTGGAGGGCGGGGCCAATCGGTTTGGCAATATAGTGTATATAACTTGTGCCCAAACGTGCTTGGTGTCCATACATACTCTACTTCGTGACAACAGAAGTCAATATACGCTTTAGTTGCAAGAGTTCTGAGGGCAGCGCTGTAAGTTTGTATTATATCTCCTGTAATATGTTTGCAGTTTAAGACCATCTATTGTAGTATGTCTACACTCTCAGACCATCTCTTGTAGCATGACTGGAGTCTTTGACCATCTCATAATATGCCTCCAGTCTCTGACCATCTCTTGTCGAATGCCCACATTTCCTGATCATCTGATGGGCACTCTGATGGGGACCTTGATGTAAGGGAAGACTCTGATGTAAAGGGTAACTCTCATGGGAACTCTGATGTAAGGAAGGTCTCTGATGAGGATCATGATGTAAGGGGGACTATGATGGAAGGGGGGAGCTCTGGTGTAGGGGGAACTCTGATGGGGGACCTGATGTAAGAGACACTGTGATGTAAGGGGGACTCTGGTGTAGGGGGAACTCTGATGGGGACCCTGATGTATTTTGAAGGAAAAAAATAGAGTAAGGTCCAGGGGCGGACTGACAACTCATGGGGCCCCCGGGCAGTAGGGGATCATAGGGCCCCTGTGTCCTTGCCCAAACTCAAAAAAGCCTATGAAAAAGGTACCAGGGGCATCTCATGGGGCCCCCTAACGACCCCGGGCCCTCGGGCATTGCCCGAGTTTCCAAATGGTCAGTCCGCCCCTTGTAAGGCCCCTCTCAGAAGACACAGACCTGCTGATTCCTGCTTAGAAGGAGGATGACAGGTCTGACTTCTATGGGGTGGTCGGATGGAAACGGACCGCTTGTCCATTTCCACCTGACTGTCATCTGATCCGCTGGATGACAGGCTCACAGAATTGGATACCAGCGGGTGTCAGTGGACACTTGTCCACTGACACTTGATCAGGTCCTCCTGAAAAACTGACAGGTGGACCCCGATCAGACTGTCAGCATGAAAGGGGCCTGAAACAGAACAGGATAGAAAATAAAAGAATAAAATAGAATAGAATAGAATAGAATGGAATAGCATAGAACATAAAGGGATATAATGGAAAAGAATAGAAAAGAGTCAAGTAGAATAGAATGGTATAGAAAGGAACAGAATAGAGTAAATCAGAACAGAATATAAAATAAAGGAATAGAATAAAATAGAATAGAATGGAATAGAATATAAAATAAAGGGATAGAATGGAAAGAATAGAATCAAATAGAATAGAAAGATATAGAAAAGAATAGAGTAAATCAGAACAAAATAGAAAATAAAAGAATAGAATGGAATAGAATATAAAATAAAGGGATAGAATGGAAAATAATAGAATCAAATAGAATAGAATGGTATAGAAAAGAATAGAGTAAATCAGAACAGAATAGAAAATAAAAGAATAGAATGGAATAGAATATAAAATAAAGGAATAGAATGGAAAAGAATAGAATAGAATCAAATAGAATAGACTGGTATATAAAATAATAGAACAGAGTAAATCAGAACAGAATAGAAAATAAAAGAATAGAATAAAATAGAATAGAAAAGAATCGAATAGAACAGAAAGAATATAACCGTCTTCCGAAATTCAAATTTTGAATAGAATAGAATCAGCTATTCTTCAACGTGAATTTGGATCGATTTGAATTTGATTTAAATACTTTGAATCCATTGTTAAAAATTTAAATCCGGTCCAAAATGAATAAACGAAACGAATTTCATTACAAATGCAATTAAACGGAACTAATAACTTAACAAATCGATCCGAAACGAAGCAAATTTTTCCATTCTGCACGTCTACTCTGATGTAAGGGGGGATGTTGATGTAGGGGGGGAATTTGATGGGGACCCTGATGAAGGGGAGACTCTAATTTAAGAGGGAACTCTGGTGTAGGGGGAACTCTGATAAGGACCCAGGGGTGGACTGACAACTCATGGGGCCCCCAGGCAGTAAGGGATCATGGGGCCCCTGTGTCCTCACCTACACTCAAACCACACACCCAAAAAAGCCTATGAAAGGTACCAGGGGCATCTGATGGGGCCCACTACTAACTCTGGGCCCTCGGGCAGTGCCCGAGTTTCCAAATGGTCAGTCTGCCCATGTAAGGACCCTAAGGTAGGGGAAGAGTCTTATGTAAGGGGGACTCTAATGGGCACCCTGAAGTAGAGGGGGACTCTGATGGAGACCTTGGTGTAAAGGGGGACTCTGATGGAGACCTTAGTGTAAAGGGGGACTCTGATGGAGACCTTGGTGTAAAAGGGGGACTCTGATGGAGACCTTGGTGTAAAGAGGGACTCTGATGGAGACCTTAGTGTAAAGGGGGACTCTGATGGAGACCTTAGTGTAAAGGGGGACTCTGATGGAGACCTTGGTGTAAAGAGGGACTCTGATGGAGACCTTAGTGTAAAGGGGGACTCTGATGGAGACCTTGGTGTAAAGAGGGACTCTGATGGAGACCTTGGTGTAAAGAGGGACTCTGATGGAGACCTTGGTGTAAAGAGGGACTCTGATGGAGACCTTAGTGTAAAGGGGGACTCTGATGGAGACCTTAGTGTAAAGGGGGACTCTGATGGAGACCTTGGTGTAAAGAGGGACTCTGATGGAGACCTTAGTGTAAAGGGGGACTCTGATGGAGACCTTGGTGTAAAGAGGGACTCTGATGGAGACCTTAGTGTAAAGGGGGACTCTGATGAGGACTCTGTTGTAAGGGGGATCTCAAGTCAATGTAATGGGACGTTATAATGTAACATACCCCTCCCCCCCTCTTGTCCAGGACAACAGCCGCAGGCAGAAGCAGCACCTGAGCCAGAGATTTGACTCTCTCTATAACATCCTGGAGGAGAGGAAGAAGGAATTATTACAAATGATCACACGGCAGCAGGAGGAGAAGCTGCAGTATGTGCGAGGGCTGATCCGCAAACATGGCGACCACCTCGAAGTCACTTCCAAACTTGTGGAGACTTCCATACAGTCCATGGATGAGCCACAGATGGCTGCGTTTCTGCAGGTGCGGACCTACACCTCAAATTCCACTATGAGTATGGGGGCATGGAAGTGTGGTCATACCATGTCTGAGAACGGGGTTGGGCTGTTTGCAGGGGACCAGAAAGTTCTGGCCTGCACCCATGGGTGTTATTAATGGAATGCGCTTGTCCCTAGGGTCAGAGAGGGTTCTGGTCTGCATCCATGAGTATTGGTGGGATGTGGCCTTCCTTGAAATTTGAGAGGGTGCTAGTCTGTACCCATAGGTTTTATTGATGGGGGGGTGCTCCATTACGGAGTCTGAGAGGGTTGTGGTCTGCACCTGTGGGTGTTTTTGAGTGGATGTGCTCTTCCCTGGGGTCTGGGAGGGTCCTTGTGTGCACCCATGGGTGTTATTGGTGGGATGTGATCTTCCTTGGAAGTTGAGACGGTGCTAGTCTGTACCCACAGTTTTTATTGGTGGGGGTGCTCCAATACAGGGTCTGAGAGGGTTCTGGTCTGCACCTGTGGGTATTGTTAAGTGGATGTGCTCTTCCCTGGGGTCTGAAAGGGATGTGGTGTGCACCCATGGGTGCTACTGATGGGATATGCTCCTCCCGGGGTCTGAGAGGGTTCTTGTGTGCACCCACAGGTGTTATTGGTGGGATGTGATCTTCCTTGGAATTTGAGATGGTGCTGACCTGTACCCATAGGTTTTATTGGTGGGGTTTGCTCCTTTCCAAGGTCTAAGAGGGTTCTCGTCTGCACCTGTGGGTGTTGTTGAGTGGATGTGCTCTTCCCTGGGGTCTGAGAGGGTTCTTGTGTGCACCCACGGATGTTATTGGTGGGATGTGATCTTCCTTGGTATTTGAGAGGGTGTCCGGAGTCTGAGAGGGTTCTGGTTTGAATATGTGGGTGTTGTTGAGTGGACGTGCTCTTCCCTGGGGTCTGAGAGGGATGTGGTCTGCACCCATAGGTGCTATTGATGGGATGTGCTCCTCCCGGGGTCTGAGAGGGTTCTTGTGTGCGCCCACAGGTGTTATTGGTGAGATGTGATCTTCCTTGGAATTTGAGAGGGTACTGACCTGTACCCATAGGTTTTATTGGTGGGGTTTGCTCCTTTCCGGGGTCTGAGTGGGTTCTGTTTTGCACCTGTGGGTGTTGTTGAGTGGATGTGCTCTTCCCTGGGGTCTGAGAGGGATGTGGTCAGCACCCATGGGTGCTTTTGATGGGATGTGCTCCTCCCAGGATCTGAGAGGATTCAGCCTTGTACCCAATGGGTTTTATTGGTGGGATGTGCTCTTCCTTGGAATTCAAGAGGGTGATGGCCTGTACCCATCGGTTTTATTGGTGGGGTGCGCTCTTCCCTGGATCTGAGAGGGTTCAGGTCTGCACTTATGGGTGTTATTGGTTGGAGGTGCTCGTCCTTGGGATTTGAAAGTGATATGGTCAGCACCCATAGGTGTTATTGGCTGGATATGCTGCTCCAAAGGTACTACTCTGGTGAACATCTGTGACTGAAATTCACACTATGCCTCAAAGTTGTAAAGCATGGATTGGGACCCCATTACCAGACCTATGATGGTGGGAACGCCTCGTAATGGGCACAGCAGGTGTACAGACCAGGGAACGTATGCAGAGATAGTGGGAACCCCTCTTGATGGGCACAGCAGGTGTACAGACCTGGAACTCAGTGCAGAGATGGTGGGAACCCCTCAGAATGAACACAGCAGGTATACAGACCCAGGAACTCAGAGATGGTAGGAACCCTTCAGAATGGGCACAACAAGCCCTGCTGTGCCCATTATGAGGGGTTCCCACCATCCCTGAATTCTCAGGTTGGCATACCTGTTGTACTTATTATGAGGTGTTCCCACCATCCTTGTGCTGAGTTCCTAGAGACCCAGGAACTCAGCACAGGGATGGTGGGAACCCCTCATGATGGGCATAAAATGGTACAGACCCGGGAACTCAGCATAGGGATGGTGGGAACCCCTCGTGATGGGCATAGCAGGTGTACAGACCCGGGAACTCAGCACGGGGATGGTGGGGAACCCCTCATGATGGGCATAGCAGGTGTACAGACCCGGGAACTCAGCATAGGGATGGTGGGAACCCCTCATGATGGGCACAGTAGGTGTACAGACTCCTGAACGCAGTGCAGGGATGGTAGGACCCTCTTATAATGAACAAAGCAGATGTACAGAGTTGGGAGCTCAGCACAGGGATACTGAAAACCCTCTTAATAGGCACAAGTCTTGCTGTGACCATTATGATTGGTTCCCACCATCCCTGGTTGGCATACCTGTTGTACTTGTTATGAGGGGTTCTCACCATCCTTCTGTTGAGTTTCTGGGTCTGACCACCTGCTGTGTCCATTTTAAGGGGTTCCCACCATCCCTGCAGAAGCTCAAAGCTCTGTTAGGAGGGGCCCCCACTCTTCCCATTGGGTTTTGAATGATAAAGCAAGCTTATAAAAGGAGAAGTAGGGAGGTTTGAATGGTGGAAGGAGGTGAAGCCAACTCAAGATTTGCATGGATTTCAGATGCCTGTAGCTCTGTGTGTATTGATGGTCTTGAACAGGGGCAGACTGACCGTTCGAGCACTCAGGCACTGCCCGAGGGCCCAGGGTCAGTAGGGGGCCCTATGAGATGCCCCTGGTACTTTTCATTGGTTTTTTCAAAGGCTTTTTTGGGTGTGGGTGAGGACACGAGGGCCCCATGATCCCCTATTGCCCGGGGGCCCCATGAGTTGTCAGTCCGCCCCTGTTCTTGACATGGAGTGACCCTCTGCTTCTACTTATATATGTTGTCATCATGCGTACTGTAGGAATTGTATGTTACAAGTTACATTTTAGGAGAAACCATATACGTAGTCGGACTGAGTATCTCACTTTTGTTTTTTTTTCCTTTCCCACAGCAAGCAAAAGAACTGATCAAAAAGTAAGTATGAGCAAAACTCACACATTGACCGGAAGCTTGTAGAATATCACCCTTCCAGTAGTCAGTAGTGGTGCTACAAATTTAAAACATGACCCCAGGAACTATACATCAGGACAAAAAGAGAGACAATACTGAGGAAAGTGGGACAGAGGGATTTGGTTCCAAAAAATGGCCAGTCCTTCCAAATGATGGACACTTGGGAGCTACGCATTTGTTTTTTGGTCCTGGAATGATAAGACTTAAGGCACATAGGTTCTTGTGTCGGGATGTCTCTCTGGTTGTGCTCCTTGAGGTAGCCAATGGACCAGGGGCATCTGGTGTGTCCTCATCTTTACAGGTCATGTTCAGTCGTATTTGCTGTGCATTGATAAAGCACTTGAATGGTTCCTGTCGAAGCTTAGGGGGCAATTTGGGTTTAGGAGCTTGCTTGGAATGTTGATCAACTCCTTCTAAAGTCTACATAGACTAAACCTGTCTGCTAGGTTCATGAGATGTTCTCTTTCTTTCTCTGCTCTCTCTATATATCTCCTTATTCTGTTTGTAGGATCACAGACATGTCCAAAGTATCCACAATAGACCGACCGGACCCCGGCTATGAGAACATGGATCACTTCTGCGTCAATGTGGACTATGTATCTGAGATGCTGAGGACCATCGAATTCTGTTCAGGTATCTATAGGGGCAGGTATCACAAAAGAAATGATTCTTGGGGGGGGGGGGGGGGTAACAATCTTCTGTGTACACTGCGATCCCCTTCCCAGAAAAAGACCTGTTGGACACTAAGGTAAGGTGGCATATGTATTGCACATACATGATGGTGGAAGCGAGAATATCTTGGATGGGATTATATGTGTATCTGTGTTGGGGGGATGTAGAATAACTTGGGATGAAGTCATACAGTATGTACTTCTGTGAGGGTGGAATGGAGAATATGTTGGGTGGGTTCATATGTACAGGTGAAACTCAAAAAATTAGAACATCATGCAAAAGTTAATTTATTTCAGTGCAGCAACTTAAAAGGTGAAACTAATATATGAGATAGACTCATTACATGCAAAGCAAGATAGTTCAAGCCGTGATTTGTCATCATTGTGATGATTATGGCTTACAGCTCATGAAAACCCCAAATCCACAATCTCAGAAAATGAGAATATTCCATGCAATCAATAAAACACGGATTGTACATAGAACAATATCGGACCTCTGAAAAGTAGAAGCATGCATATGTACTCAGTACTTGGTTTGGGCCCCTTTTGCAGCAATTACTGCCTCAATGTGGCGTGGCATGGAAGCTATCAGCCTGTGGCACTGCTGAGGTGTTATGGAAGACCAGGATGCTTCAATAGCGGCCTTCAGCTCTTCTGCATTGTTCGGTCTCATGTCTCTCATCTTTCTCTTGGCAATGCCCCATAGATTCTCTATGGGGTTCAGGTCAGACGAGTTTGCTGGCCAATCAAGCACAGTAATCCCACGGTCATTGAACCAGGTTTTGGTGCTTTTGGCAGTGTGGGCAGGTGCCAAGTCCTGCTGGAAAATGAAGTCAGCATCTCCATAAAGCTCGTCTGTGGAAGGAAGCATGAAGTGCTCCAAAATCTCCTGGTAGACGGCTGCGTTGACCCTGGACTTAATGAAGCACAGTGGACCAACACCAGCAGATAGCATGGCTCCTTAAATCAACACAGACTATGGAAACTTCACACTGGACTTCAAGCATCTTGCAGTGTGTGCATCTCCATTCTTCCTCCATACTCGGGGTCCTTGGGCCTCTCCATTCTTCCTCCATACTCGGGGTCCTTTGGCCTCTCCATTCTTCCTCCATACTCTGGGTCCTTGTGCCTCTCCATTCTTCCTCCATACTCTGGGTCCTTGTGCCTCTCTATTCTTCCTCCATACTCGGGGTCCTTGGGCCTCTCCATTCTTCCTCCATACTCTGGGTCCTTGTGCCTCTCCCTTCTTCCTCCATACTCTGGGTCCTTGGTTTCCAAATGAGATGCAAAAGTTGCTCTCATCAGAAAAGAGGACTTTGGACCACTGAGCAACAGACTAGGTCTGTTTTTCTTTAGCCCAGGTAAGACGCTTCTGACATTGTTTGTTGTTCAGGAGCGGCTTGACAAGAGGAAACTCGACATTTGAAGCCCATGTCCAGGATCCGTCTGTGTGTGGTGGCTCTTGATGCACTGACTCCAGCCTCAGTCCACTCCTTGTGAAAGTCCCCAACACTTTTGAATGGCCTTTTCCTGACAATCCTCTCCAGGCTGCGGTCATCCCTGCTGCTTGTGCACCTTTTTCTTCCACACTTTTCCCTTCCACATAACTATTAATGGGCTTTGATACAGCACTTTGGGAACATCCAACTTCTTTTGCAATTACCTTTTGAGTCTTTCCCTCCTTATGGAGGGTGTCAGTGATGGTGTCAGGTCAGCAGTCTTTCCCATGATTGTGAATCCTATTGAACCAGACTGAGAGACCATTTAAAGGCTCAGGAACCCTTTGCAGGTGTTATGGCTTAATTAGCTGATTATAGTGGGACACTTTGAGCTGAGAATATTGCACCTTTTCACAATATTCTCATTTTCTGAGATTGTGGATTTGGGGTTTTCATGAGCTGTAAGCCATAATCATCACAATGATGACAAATCATGGCTTGAACTATCTTGCTTTGCATGTAATGAGTCTATCTCATATATTAGTTTCAGCTTTTAAGTTGCATCGCTGAAATAAATGAACTTTTGCACGATATTCTAATTTTTCGAGTTTCACCTGTACATCAGTTAGGGTGGGATGGAGAACATCTTGGGATAAGATCCTATGTATGTCCCTAGAGTTGGAATGGAGAATATCTTGAGATGAAGTAAAAAATACATATATGAGGGTGGGATGGAGAATATCTTGGTATGGGGTCATATGTATATCTGTGAGGGTGGGATGCAGAATATCTTGGGATGGGATCATATGTACATCCGTGAGGGTGGGATGCAGAATATCTTGGTATAAGTTTATATGTTCATCTGTGAGAGTGAGTTGGAGAATATTTTTGCAAAGGGTCATATATACATCTTTGAGGGTGGGATAGAGAGCATCTTGGAATGGGATCATATGTACATCCCTAAGGGTGGGCTGGAGAATATCAGGAATGAGGTCAAATATACATCTGTGAGGGTGGAATGGAGAATCTCTTAGGATAGGGCCATACGTATATCAGTGAGGGTGTGATAGAGAATATCTTGGGATAGGGTTATATCTACATTTGTGAGTGTGAGATGGAGAATATTTTGGGATGGGCCATAGGTACATCTATGAGGGTGAGATGTAGAATATCTTGGGATGGAGTTATATGTACATTTGTGAGGGGGAGATGGAGAATATTTTGGGAAAGGGTCATATAGTGTATACATCTTTGAGAGTGGGATGGAGAACATCTTGGGATGAGGTCATATATACAGCCCTAAGGTTGGGATGGAGAATATTTTAAGATGATGTCAAATGTAAATCTGTGAGGGTGGGATGGAGAACATCTTGGGATAGGGTTATATGTACATCCTTGAGGGCAAGATGGAGAACATCATGGGATGTTGTCATATGTACATCTGTGATGGTGGATTGATGAACAACTTGGGCTCACATGTACATATGTGAGGGTGAGATGGAGAATATTTTGGGATGAGGTGATATGTACATCTGTGTGGATGGGATGGAGAACATCTTGGGATGAGGCCATATGTACATCTGTGAGGGTAAGATGAAGAATATCTTGGGATGGAGGTATATGTACATCCATGAGGTTGGGAAGGAGAACAATTTAGGATGGGTCATATGTACATCCATGATGTTGGGACTGTCTTGGGGTGGGGTCATATGGACATCCTTGAGGGTGGGATGAAGAACACCTAGTGATGGGGTCATATGTACATCCATGATGGAGGAGCTGCAAATATCTTGGGAAGGGGTCCATGCACATCCATGAGGATGAGATGCAGAATATCTTGAGATCATCCATGATGTTGGGAAGGGGTCAAATGTACATCCCTGAGGATGGGATGGAGAACATCATGGGATGTATAGAAGGGAAGATCTCGGGGTGTCACTATGAAGCCCAATATTACTGTTGTTTTATTAGGTACACAGGGAGAGGATGAGGATGATGCATTTGACATAGAAGAGTCAGAGGCAGCAGCAGAAGAGGAGAGAGCTGAACCTACAGATGGTGAGAACTAAAGCCATATACTGTATATCATCTATCTGTCTATCTATCTATCTATCTATCATCTATCTATCTATCTATCTATCTGTCTGTCTGTCTCTATCTATCTATCTATCTATCTACCGGTATCTATCTATCTATCTATCTATCTATCTATCTATCTATCTATCTATCTATCTATCTATCTGTCTATCATCAGATAATGTAAATGGGATATGTGCTCAGGATGTCTCACACATACGGATAATTCTTGCATTTTCTTTCTCTTCCAGATTCTGCTGCCAGGCAGAGAACAGCGACCCCGCAACATGGCGACTTTGGGGCAGTCTAGGAGGATTCTTGTGGGGGCTCCCAGGGGTCTATTTATAAAGGGGAAAAAATTAAATGTTACTTTTTAGTCCCTTTTTTTATTTCACCGCTTTCTACTATTTATATAAAGCCAAAGCTAATTTAGGGTACATGCACAGGGATATTTGGAGGCATAAAGACCCTTCCGGTGCCCAGGGTATGGCAGGTGACACGTACATCTGCTTGTTGCTCCCTGAGTGTGGGAAAATGCCAGGTATTTTATGCTAGAGGACATTTATGCTAGCAGATGTCTGTATACCCTAATGGCATATGTTACCCTGAATTGAATATTTCATATACAGTATGTGTCTGATGTTCCATGTTGGCGTATCTAAATGTAGCCAGTTCCCTTCTTATTTATTCATATTCTGTTAAATACCTGGTAAACCTGCTCATCTGGTGGTTGATTTGCATTTCTGCCTTCTACTTCAGAGCCCTGCCTGTATCCATATAGTGACATTATTCCTGGCACACCCCTCCTCTGCCCAGTCCTGGCTGTACCCCTGGGATCAGACTACTGCTGACAGCCCCTCCTCTGCTCAGTCCTGCCTGTACCCCTGTGATCAGACTTCTGCTGACAGCCCCTCCTCTGCCCAGTCCTGCCTGTACACCTGTGATCAGACTACTGCTGACAGCCCCTCCTCTGCCCAGTCCTGCCTGTACACCTGTGATCAGACTTCTGCTGACAGCCCCTCCTCTGCCCAGTCCTGCCTGTACCCCTGTGATCAGACTTCTGCTGGCAGCCCCTCCTCTGCCCAGTCCTGCCTGTACCCCTGTGATCAGACTACTGCTGACATGCTCATTTCCTTCCCAGCCCAGTACCCCTGTTGTAAGACTAATGCAGACATTGCCCTTCTCTGCACGGTCCTGCTTGTACCCATATGATCAGACTACTGCTGCTGACATGCCACTCTTCCACCCAGCCCCGCTTGTACCTCTGTAGTTAGACTACTGCTGACACACCCCTTCTCTGTCCAGTGCTGCCTTTACCCCTGTGGTCAACCTACTGCTGACACGCCCATCCCCTCCCTGATCCTGCCTGTACCCCTGTAGTCAGACTACTGCTGACAAGTCCCTCCTCCACCCAGACCTACAGTACCTGTACCCTTGTGATCAGACTACTACTGAAACACCGTACCCTGTCCAGTCCTGCCTGTACCCTTGTAGTCAGACTATTGCTGACATGTCCTTCCTAAGCCCAGCCATGCCTGTACCCCTGTAGTCAGACTACTGCTGACA